CTACGCACTGATTCTTGTAAATTTAGCTTAGGGTTTGCGAACAAGTAAGAATTGGGAGAAAAAAATGTTTGAATTTACTTTACTGATAAACTGATTTTTTCAGTGATACAGTGAAGAGTAGACTTTACTCTTTTATACAAGCAAATATAAGAGAAGATCAAAGTGTTGCGTTTTACAACTGTTTTTATTATAAAACAGAAACGACACCGTTTGCAGAACTACATTGTCCTCCTGCTACTTGGCTCTTTTGCACTTTCGTCCTTTGACCAACATCCCTTCTTAAACAGTGGTGAAGTATTATTGGAACAAGCATTGGTGGGATTGGCTGAAGGGTCAGAATTGGATTGAACAGAAGATTTACCAAACTCTTGAGAATAAGGAAATTCATTTTCATTAAATTTGACACTAGGAGTAATAAAAATTTTTCCATCAACCCTTAAACACTTATAACCTTTGTGAAGTAAACTATACCCTACAAATACACATTTTGAGGAATGAAAATCAAACTTGTGACTATGAAAATTCTTAAAAAAAAAAAGGAAAACAAGAACAGTCAAAAACTTTAAGACTTTCATACATAGGATATTTATGAAATAGCATGAAATATGGAGTGTTATTATTTAAGACAACAGTGGGCAGTCGGTCAATGAGAAAGGCTGCTGTTTCAAAGGCCAACCACCAGTATTTTAAAGGCATAGAGACATGAGCTAATAATGTAAGTCCTGTTTCAATAATGTGCCTATGTTTCCTCTCACTACGGCCATTTTGTTGATGAACATAGGCACAAGAGTACCTAGTTTGAATACCATTTTCAGTCAGATAAGGAAGTAAAGCTTTGTACTCTCCTCCTTGATCTGACTGGAGACACTTTAGTTTGGTTTCAAACTGCCTCTCAACAAGGTGGTGGAATTTGATAAAGATGGACTTAACTTCAGCTTTTGTTCTAAGGGGAAACAGCCATGTAAAGCGACTGAAATCATCTAGGAATTGTACATAATACCTAAATCCTTCTACTGAGGTGACTGGGGCAAGACCCCACACATCACTATGAACAAGAGCTAAAGGTTCTGTAGCATGAGATTGAGACAAGGGAAAACTATTTTGATGTAACTTTCCTAGCTGACAGGCATCACAGAAGTTAGACACTTAGATAGGCAGACTTTGGTTTGCAGTGAGAGAAACATATTTGGGAAGTGTTAATAAGATTTTATGCAATGTAGTTGAGTTGGGATGACCCAATCTTTTATGCCAAATCATGTGTTGATGTAAGTGTTTGTCAACAGTCAAGCAATTTGGTGAGGAACCAGTAGTGTAAGGGTTTTCAGCAGACAATTGTTCATGATTAGGGCAATTAACAGCAGACAATTGTTCACTAACAAGAAAATCAGTAGACATTTCATCATTAACATAGCAGTTTGCAGTATTATTTTCACTCATTGAAGCAGTAGCAATATCATTCTCAACTATTGAAGCAGTAGGCTTAAACAAGAATTCATCATTATGTATTCTATTAGTAGTAGCAGTAGGACAAACAGTAGGTTCAACAGAAATACATTTTGACTTATTTCTAGAACAAAAGTCATTACATTGTTCTTCAGAAACAGAACTTTTATTATAGCTAACATTTGAAACTATATCAGGATGTTTATTGACTTTTCCAACTAACTCTAGATGTTGGTTGTTGGTCACAGGTTTATGGAAGTATTGAGAGGAGTCTTTAGTTGAAGGACTCATAAAATGTGTAGTGGGTGCCAGGTTTGGTGATGTATAAGTGGTAGGCAGATCAGACTGATAAGGAGAGACACATGGTTTGAACAGGTCAGTGGTGTTTGTTGGAATTTCCAGTTGATAAAGTCCTTCTTTAAGACCCCCTTATAGTAACATGGCCTTGGTTGACTTGTCCTTAACAACACAAGAGTTAGCATCAAACTCAACAACAACATTATTATCCCTTGTAAACTTAGAAATACTCAGCAGATTTTTTGTGATTTTAGGAACACACAGTATATTTTTAAGATAAAGACACTTAGAATGAAGACTACTAGGAGTAAAGGAGTGACCAGTATGGGAAATGAGAAGGTACTCACCATTGCCAACCTAAAGCTTATCCTCACCTTCATAGTTCTTACTAATGCTCAGCTGAGATAGGTTGGAAGTGACATGATATGTTGCCCCAGAGTCCATATACCATGCTGGATCAATTGGAGTGGTGACAGAGGCCTGTGAATTATTGTAAAGTGTTGTGCAGTTCTGAGCTGGAAAAGCATTGCTTCCAGGATACCCCAATGAGATACCACTAGTATAAACCAGATTTGCTTAACTATTGGCTCCCATCTGGTGACTAGGAACTCCAAAAGTTGCTGAAGCACTGACATTATTCTTAGGATTGCCAGTGTACTGTGACTGCTGTGGAGTATAATGTGGTTGTTGGGATTGATTGTACTGTGACTGTTGTGGGTTATAATGCAGGTGCTGTGTTTGAAATGTACTATCAGGATGCTGCTGTGAGGTACCAATAGGGGAATACAGTACTGGATCTGTAAATGAGTGGCTGGGAAAATTTCCATTGCCAGTTTGAAAAGTGCCATTGTACGTTGAGTTATATCGATGATAACATTGGATGGCTGAATGTCCAGCTTTATTGCACACTTGACAGATAATTCTTCCCCTGCCAGTGCCTCTACCTCTGCCTCTTCTGTAAGTGTTAAAGCTGGAAGATCTAGGGTTAAATGGCATAGTGTTGTAGGGTAAAGAGGGATTAGTAACTGGACCAGGAGAATAGGGTTGTGTGGTAGTATTGTAGGCAGAGGTAACATAGTTTTGTGAGGTGTGTGGGTTCCCAAGAGACATTAGAAAGGGTATTGTGCCACTCAAGTTACCTGCAGTTTTGACATTATCACTCACTGGTGAACTTATACCAGACACATTATAACATCCATGACTGTTTACAAAGGCTATATTTGCTGAAGTATTGTACAAGTCTGTGGAATTAAACTTTTCAAGCTGGATTTCATATTTCTGCAACAGAAACTGTGCCTCTTGAAGAGTTACAGTATCAACCTTTGATTCTAGTCTAGAAGTGAGTGTCATTACGGCTGGATCATATTCAGGCCCTAGACCATCTAACACATACTGTAATAAATCTCCATCAGAGATAATCAATCCACTTGCAGCTAAGCTTTCTGCTGTCTCTTTCATTTTCTTCACATAGTCACTAATACTCAATCCTCCTTTATGAGTTGTTTGAAGCAAATTTTTCAAATGTAAGGCTCTAGCTTTTGACTCGGTAAACAACTCATTTTCTAAGGCTAACCAAATTTCATTTGAAACAACTACATTTAGACACAACACAGAAAATGCTTTCACTAATTGAAGCTAGCAAACAACTCACTAAGCATTTATCAGTCTTTTCCACAAAACATAAGCTGGATTTAAGCTTTCTCCAACAGTATTATTGCTAAGTTCTACCTCAGAATCATTAATCAGAATCGGAGAAGGACAAGGCACTCTACCTAACAGGTGATTTCCAACTTATGTGAGCCAACGGCAAAGAGAACCCGAGAGCTCCAAAACCGATAGTTGTCCTTGTTAGCTTGGATTGATTACTTGCAAGCTCGAGGTAAGACATGCAGTAGTTGATTTTGTACTTCAGACATCATCTCCTTGTGTGTTTAGCGATGAGAGTGAGCAGGATCTGAGGCCATTGACATTAGTCAGGGCTCTGATACCATGTAAATTTAGCTTAGGGTTTGCGAACAAGTAAGAATTGGGAGAAAAAAAGTTTTGAATACTTATGATAAACTGATTTTTTCAGTGATACAGTGAAGAGTAGACTTTACTCTTTAATTTCAATGCTCTGATTTTTTTATAGTTAGAAGAGCTGAATGAATACATCTGAAAGGAGTGTAGTGCAGAAGAAGAATGTTTGATGTATGGAAGAATGTTTGTTGTTAGTTGGTGGGTGAACTTCCTTAGGTTAATGATTGCTTATTGAGATCTTGGGAGTGTATCTGTTGATCAAAGGAAAATAGTTTGCAAGTTGCAGTTTTGTGTGAACTTTAGGTGATTGAACTTGAAAATGCAGTTTGTTGTTTTGACAGAATGTGTTGAAGAATTTATGGTGCAGAGGTGTTATATTGGAGAACTGTGATTGAACTTCAGATGGTTGAGTGAGAAATGCAGTTTGTAGATGTGTATGACAGTTTGTTTAAATTGTGAAGCTTGCTGGTTGGTTGTGTTTGTTTGGTGTTGAGTGGTGCTGATGTAGAGTTCATTAGCTGAAGTTGCAATTGAAAATGCAGAACTGAAAATGAATTACAGAATTGTGTTGATGAATTTATGGTGCTGAGTTGTTAAATTGAAGAACTGTGATTGAACTTCAGATGGTTGAGCTAAGAAATGCAATTTGTAGATGTGTATGACAGTTTGTTAAATTGTGAAGCTTGCTCTTGTTTTGTTGTTATGTTTGGTTGTTGAGTCGGTGTTGATGTAGAGTTGATTAGCTAAAGTTGCAATTGAAAATGCAGAACTGAAAATGAATTGATGCTTTGAGTAGTTGAGCAAGTTATGGTTTTTTTTTTTTTTTCGGTAGTAACACAGAATGTGTATGACAGTTTGAGTAGTAGAGTTACAACTTGAAAGTTTGATTATTTGAAGAGTTGAGTTTGTGCATCTGTTGACTAAAGGGGTTAAAGGAGAACAGTGGTAGTAGAAAAAGGAAGAGAGTTTAGTTTCAGAAGGGATGTTGGTCAAAGAGCTGGTGAAAGAAAGGCTACTGAAGCAGCAAAGAAGAATGTCCAGTTTGAGAGGGGATGTTGATCAAAGGACAAAAGTGTAAAAAGTTCAAGTAGCAGGAGAAAAATGAAATTCTGCAAGACGGTGTCGTTTTGATTATAACAAAATCAGTTGTAAAACTCACCTTACCTTTACTCTTCGTTTTTGTATAAAAGAGAAGAATGTTCTCTTCACTGTAGCTATTGAAAATTTAGTCTACCCAATAAAGAAATTCGATCACATTTTCTCTGTTTTTCTGTTTGCTCACAAACCCTAAGCTAAACTTACATTACCAAGCATACCATTGTTGAAACGCCAAACTTGTACCATATTAAGCAGCTCTTACAAGGATTAAAAAGGAAGAAAGAAAGAAGCATTAAAAATATTTTGTAACAAATATTTACAAGAAATGTTCCACCATTGGAGACGGACATAGGCTATTCCCATCACTGACATTAACGTATTAACATTTTTCACAATAGGTAAAGCTTGGCACGAGTTGCTTATGTCAAGAAGTGCTCACAACACAAAAAATGATCCCATATCAACCCTAAGGTGTCCTTAAACATGTTATACATAGTATCAGTATCCACCTTCTGTTCCTGAAAATTGTGAAAAAAAAGAAACAAAATAAGTGCAGAAATATGAAAAAAAATACAGAAGCAATTGCTTACTTCATATGATCCATTGCAAAAAAATAATTAAACTCAAACACAGCTAAAACTCAAAATATTTTCATTATAATCTTCTATGTTGAAATTGTTCATAAAACTTTTGGAAAAATTTTGCATCATTGAAATTTTCTATAGTGAAATTGTTCTGCAACTCAACGGTGAAATTAGAAACAATATCTGGAAAACAGTCACTTCAATGATAAATTTCTGAATAGTAATAATTTCAACATTTATTAAGTCTCACATGAAAAGAGAAGGTCAAGTGAATAAGTCGAATGCAATAAATAACAATTACCAGTATGTCTGAAGCTAATCGCTTCAACTGCAGAGAAATCTTAATTGAAGACTCCCCTCTAGAAGACTCAAAACTAAATCGATCAGCATGTCTTACCTTGAGCCTCAGTGATGAGCTTTCATACAACTTAACTTCTTTGTGCCAAACCTTACTAACACGGTATTGATCCCCCGAGTTTGACTTCCCTAGGGGCCATCTCAAACCACCCTTCACTCCTCGATCTAAAATAGCTGAACTAATCAGATTTCTAAGGCTCTGAATTTCTTCACCCTGGAAGAACGCATATAATCAGTTTGATTATAGATATCATTCTCAAGGATAACTGAAACAGCTATAAACTAAAGCATTCAATAGATACATGTTAAACCACTGTTTCTTTTGGTTTTACATAATTACTCTTCTCAAAAGACCGACTCCCACAAAAAAATAAAAAAATATCAAATAAGGAACCTCATTGTGCAAAGCAAAAGCATTACAATTGTTTAAGTCTACAACTTGGCAATTAAAACTTTGACTCTGATGATTTTGTTTTTTACTTCAGTCACTTGTTAACGTTTGATGTCTGGAGAGAAAACTCTCATAGATTGTAATCCTCAGTAAAAAGGTATTAAATATTTAACTGTATGTTTAACTTTTTGAGCATTGTCTTGTATTTCTTCTTTCTTCATCCCTTAGAAAATGGGCTATGTCCACATAAAATCAATTTATAGAATGAAGATTTCCTTCTCCTGCTTTAAAGTTGTTTTTTTCTTCGTTTGAAATGAATAAATATTCTGATTAGTAACAACAAAGATAAAATTAACATGATTAAAAGAGAGACAGAAAATAGAAACAAAGTTATGCTATATTATTCTACCTAAAGCATCTAATGGGTAGGGTTGCACATTAACTTACAGTTAAGTCAGTGCCAATACTCTTCGTCCATAGCGTCAGCCTCAGGTCTAAATTCTTATCCACGCATGATGTGTATATGGCCATTCGACGAGTATGGTTTGTTTCAACCTACAAGAAAAATATCTCCAATTGAGCATGAGGCTCTACATACAAAATAAAGATAAATTTAAAGTGAATATAAAATTCTGGCAATTCAAAATATAAATAAACAAATGAATCCAATGAGATACTTAATATTTCTTTATGTCCCCGATATATCACCCAGATCCAAATCCCATGAAGCAAAAGGCACTCTTCGAGAAGGGCATATTCAAGTTGGTTCATAATCAGCAATATTTTTTGCAATTTAACACTCAGGATCAGTACACCTGTAGATCAGTACACCTGTAACTATATATATACTTGGGTTTATTAGATACTTATCTAAGGGTTACGTCAACTTTACTTGTTTGGTTTATATCAGGACTTCTTACTCTTGTATAAGCAAGCCCTTTACAAACAATTCAAAAGAGTTGAAAAGTATTTCCTTTTTCTTCTTCTTTTAATGGTGAATTCCATTTAAATGTTTTTGGGAAGACTTCTAAAATGGTCTTAATCAGATTCTAAAAATTTCTATCCTTATCCTGTTTCTTCAACTTTTCTTGCTTCTATTATAGTAGTTCCATCACTTTTTACAACAAAATTCATCTCACAAACTCAGTTCAATCCAATTTCTTTTTATTCAATAACATAGATATAGGTGCCGCTGACAGCTTTTTTTACCTCTACAATTCCTGGTATAATTAACTTTAGCAAAAGCCTTGTTTCATTGACTTTTCTAAAGCAGCTAACTCTGAATGTTTAAGAATCATGATTATCAAATTGAAGTATCGACCTCCATCATCCTATTTACACAACACAGATTTATTTTTATAGTAGGTTAAAATAATGGCAACATTCATGCAAAATCTGATATACTAACCACATATATAAGCATGTAACAGAAAACTTGCCTTATAGAGCTCAAGCGTTTTATCTTCTTTTACTCTACATTTGCAAATAACGATTGAGTGTGGTCGCATGCTGTCAGTCACCTAGACAATGAAATTGAAGTCAATAGCTATATTATCTGAAGTACAAGTAACATGATTTTAATAGACAAGAGTTTAGAAGAACAATTACCTTGATCTCGTATACATCCTTATCAGTTTCAAAATCAAATCCTATTTTTGGAACAACTCCACTTATAATGTTGTCCTTATAAGACGTAGGAACATTTGTATAAAATCTTCTCATCAATGGTTCCAAAGTGGTTTCAGTGACTGGATATTTTTTGACCTTTTCTATGTTCACAGAATAGGACCTGCACCGCAAAGATTAATGTTATAATAGCTGCTTAGTCCAACCCTTTTTTTTTTTTTTTTGGTCACCAACTATTGGTACGAACATATGTTTGCTTTACATTACAAACTAATTGAGCTGCAAACATGACATAACTATTAGTAGATATGTGCTTTTGCAGAGTGTTTCCGTCTTAACAAAGGATAATGGAGGTCAAACGAAGGGTTTGAGTGAAATAGTAAATCATAACCAAAAAAAAGCAGCCAATTCAAAGGCCAAGAGATAGCATGTGTGATAAATCATTGTTTTAATTTTCTTTACTTTGGCTTTTTAAGAAATATTACCCCTGATTCAGAGATTTAATTCACTCTTATCACTTCCATGGGAATAGGTAGGGGACAACCTCATAATTTCCCTCTATTTCAACTAGTAATTCTTAATTGACCATAAGATTCTATAAGATTCTCAATCATTTTGGCTTATGTAACATTCATAAAGAAAGAGAAATCAAGGAGGCATTAAGAAATATTACCCACGAAAACGAATTTTGCCAAATCCAGCGACCAATACTGGCTTTACTTTCTCGAGCTCTTTACACTCCATTCTGTTCCTCAGATTGTTAAAACAAGTCAATATATCTGGCCATGCATTTTTAGCAACAAATTCCCAAGGTCGTCTTGATATATTCCCTCCCACTTCATCATTACCTACAAACAAGAGAGAAAAAGATCAATACTACTACTTTAAACACTAGAATGAAATTCAAACAAAAAAATATAATACATTAAGATAATTCTAAACAGGGCATAACACCACCTTTATCTACATGATCGTTCACTAAAACTAGGGACTTTTCTCCTAGAGTCCGCTCGATGGGTTTTGAAATCGGCTCAAGGCGGACAAATGAAGGAAATTGGTGATTATCATCCAAACCAACAATGAACCATCTGTATACGCATGGGTTTGGATTATGTCGAAATGATCTCAAGTTCAAATCTCTCTTGAATTGTGGAGCAAGCAGCTCTGGAATTGGAGTTGGAGTTGGACGATCCTTTGAGTGTCGCTTGTGTGGTGGAATATAAGCCATAAAGATAAAGCAACAGTCTTAAATCCTGTTAGAATGAATCATCAACAACGGAACTTTGCAAATAAAACCACTCTCCCAATTAACACCCATTTTTTGCAAAACCAACAAAATTATAGAATAACCCAAAACCTCTAATACTCTAACCTCAAAACCTCTGAAAATAATAATAAGAATTAAAAAAAAAAAAAAAAACAACTCAAGAAATGTTTCTCTTACTTTTACTAACAATTATATATCCAACCAATAGACATAATGGCTTGCAACCATTACGACGCTAATAGAAATAAATAGTCTCTTGAACTAGTCAACATCAGTATTCCAGATTGTAAATTGTCTAAATTTCTTCAGGTTCCCCAGTCATAAACAAGAGTAACACATAAAATAAAAATAATTAAATCAATAATAATGAATAAAAAATTAACAATTTATGTAGTAAGAATTCGTCTCACTTACAAGGGAATTTCAAAGGCTTGGCAGTCTTGTTTGCTTCAGTCTGATATTCCCACTTAAGTATATTATTTATATATATACGTATCAAAAAGAAAGATGTCGCTATCCTTCAAACTTCTTCAAGAAGGTCTTAGGTCACTTTTGGGAAAGTGGACCATTAAATATTGAAATGATCTGCTTTCCCTTCCCCTTTCCCAAATGTCAGTGGGTCATCGACTCATGGATTCGTGAAAACAAAATTTCATTCAGATTTCAAGTGATTTATTAATGGGCAATTATTTTGCAAAGAAAATAATTCTTTAGCCTATAGTTATAAAGATTGAATTGAACTTTTTTTCTGTCATCTCTTTAGCAAAGGATTTTTAATATTTTTTGAAAAGGATTATCAGATTTTTAATATTTTTTGAAAAGGATTATCAAAATGTTATGGTTGTCATCTCTTCCTGTGTAAACTTCCAAAAGATTACTTCACCAATAAGATTTCAAGCTACGATGTCATTTTGGCCACGTGTTACAATGCATGAACGTTATTTCACACCTCATTTTGGCCATAGGTTGAGATGCATGAAGGTTACTTCACATTTAAGATCATCCTCAGAATACTATAAATAGGGGGTTCTCACATCAAACTAGGGATATACAAAATCTCTTTAACTATAAGAGCATTACAACAATAGTCTCTAGAGCAAATTCTCTTTGTAAACACATCAATAAAATAACAGTGGACGCATGAATTGTTTCGTGTATCTGAACCACTATAAAAGCTGCTCTTAACTATTTTCTATTTATTTTTACTCATTTACTGTTTAGCACTTCATTTACTCTATCATAGACCCTTTGTGCAAACTTTTCGAAGGGTTGCGTACATCTCATTGGTGCAAAAAACCGCATCAACAATAGTAAATTTTGAAATGGTTTATAATTATTTTCCAAATTTATACCCGTCAAAACTGTTTACAGGAACGTTGACCCATAATTAAGAAAATATAATCTTTCCAAAAAAAAATCCTTTTTAATATAATTATAATAAATAATATATTTAAAAAGAATGAAGAAATTAGATTTTCTAATCCATACGTATTCCCCATTGTTGGACAAAATATTGGCCCATTAATACAAACTTTAAATGAGTAAACGACTTTTTCCCTCCCAACTAATAGCCTAATGACACTTTCTCACCTACAGACTTTTAAAATACCATTTTATTATTGAAATTTATATTTTGTTTCTGATTTCGGCATCATTGCGAGCCCAAACGACCACCATTCTCTTTCCCGATCATCACTCACCAAAACCCCTCAAACCCTACTCCCGCTAACCTTGCTAATCACCAGCAATCAAGCGATTAGGATTTGCATAATTGCCCCTCCCAAGTCAAGTTCTTATCAATCCCAACCACAAAAATCCAACATTCCACCACCAAAAGACTCATCGGCCTCCCCTCTTCAAATGTCTCATCAGCATGGATCGAGTTTGATCTCTGTTCACTGCCATAATATAAATTTGGGTAGTAAAATGGTATTTTAAAAGTCTGTGGGTGGGAAAATATCATTAAGTCATTATTTGAGTGGGAAAAAGTCGTGAACTCACTTTAAATGTGAAATATTGGTTTGGATGAATTTTCATGTCAATTTGATTTGTGATTCAAAAATTATCTTCAAAAACTAAAATATGATTCAAAATTTTGAGTTATATGTTAGGTCTCGTTTGGATTGAGGGATTCTAAATGAATAATTTTATTAAATCCATGGATTTGGTAAAATACTTCATTTGGTTTTAAATAAAAAAAAAAAAAATGTTGAAATCCATGGATTTTGGACAATCCACCACCTTCCAAAATCCTTTATTTTTTCGGGTTTTAAAATCCCACCTGGTAGATGGGATTTTGTCAAATCCATCAGTTTTAATAAAATGGGGGGTTTTGATAATATTTTAATTTTCCAATACTACCCTTGTTAATAATCTAATATCCCAGTAATTATCCTTTACTCTAATTAAAAGAAATATATTTATCGTTCTCTCATTTTGCGCTCTTCACCTTTACATCATCAGTATCTTCAAAGCATACTAGAGAAATAATCTACCAGTGAGTTTCCGTTAATTTAATTAATTATTTTTTATTTGCAAAAAGTTTTTTAATTATTTCAATTTCTCATGGTGATTCTTTTTGTTATCTGGTTAAGAACTTATTGATGGTGGCTTTTTGTTATTCATGAAAGCTTATACATATATATGTCCTTTTGCAAAGTAATGAGTGCCACAATATATAGATTGGGGACAAACTCTAATATGCTATGATGAAAAGTTTCATATGTTTTTGGAGATGGTGTTAGTCCATTATATTGACACTAATTTTGTATTTATGTATGGTCATGTTATATATTTTAATATGAAATTATTCAACTATTGAAGTTATAATGAATGAAGATAGTTGATACTATATTATATTAACCTAGAATTCTTTTATTTATTTATTTTTTTTTACCAAATCACAAAAAATCATTTATTATAATTGGACTTCTCTATCAAATATAATTTAACTTGTATTTAATTAGATGAAAGTTGAATTTTTGTTGGTTTTGGATATTGAGGGTAAAGTTAGAAATTATCTATCTAATTTATGGATTGTATTCACTTAACCACACATGAGTGCATGGAAATTTGAATCAACAATCCATGGATATTTTATATTTAAACCAAACAATGGAATTTATTAAATACATGGATTTTGAATCCATGGATTGTACAAAAACCATGGATTTTAAAATCCCTCAATCCAACAAATCCTTAGTATTTTTACTATTTAAAAATGTGTTCGATATAATATTTGAAAACTATAGAAAACTAGGAAGTCAACTTTTAATCATCTTCTAATTTAAACTTTTTAAGGATCGTATACAAAAATTGTTTAAAAAAAAAACAATTCGACTTATTTCTACCAAACACGTTTTCATAAGATTTGATGTTATGTAACCATTGTTTTATCCCCAAGGGTTAGCTTGGTAATCAAGAATGTTTGCTCCCTTCACTGACTTTCTGGGTTCAAACTAGGGGTGAACATGGTAGCAGGTAGAACCAGAATCGACGTGTAGAATCGAAACTGAAACCGAAACCGGAACCTACGTGGAATTGACACTGTGTGGTAGGTTCTGGTTCTAATTTTTTGGAACTGTACTCGAAAACTATAATGGGAACCACTTCGAGTGCCCGAGATGGAACTTGTCTTGTCTTGGAACCGGGACTAAAAAAATATCGATAAATATTGGGGGATCTTTTGTAATTTTAGATATAAAAGTTAAAAATTTGAAAATGGGATGAAGACACGGATTAGTAAGTTAGGTGACGTGGCGAAGAAGTGGGTGGAGGCCCTACTTGGTTGGTAGATTATATTAAATTATAAATTGCGTTTGTTTCATTATTTCATCACTATCTTGTCTCTATTCCAAATACAAATATACGTTTGTATCTTATTTTCAAAATCATATCCTAAATTAAAAAACTTTTTAAAACCCCTAGGTTTGTTAATTAAAAAAAACACCCCAACAAAAAATTTATAAAGTGACAAAAACACCTCCACCAGCCCATAATTGTTAGATTCTGGCAACCACAGTCGATGGTGATCGAAATCTGTCACAACAGCGCATTATCGATTGAAAATGGCTGATAATGCGCTGATTTGGCCTTTTCCGGCCATATCCACTGTAGATCTGTGGTGGATCTAATCAAAAAAGGTCATATCGACGCATGACTAGCCAGATCTGGTAGGTCGTGCGACGTAATGCCAGATTCCAATGGTGGTGACTAGAATCTTACAACTATGGGTGGATGGGGGTGTTTTTGTCATTTTACAAAAAATTTATATATTAGGATGTTTAGTTAAATTAGCAGACTTATGGGGTTTTTTTGTTAATTTTTAAATTCTCTCTCTTAATAATCACCCAACTCTACCTACCAATAATATTTCAAAAATATTACTCAAAATACTAAAACAAACACACTATATTTTTATAATATTTAAGTTTTGATTAATTAATTAATTAATTAATTAAGTATATAATTGGAATTAGGATCCAATATTTTAAAAGTGTTTTAATGTTATTAAAAGTATTATTTTTTAATACAATAGTATATTTGATTGAATAATATTTACTTTAAGTCTTCAATTATCAA